TGGATGTAGGTTACAAGTGGATGTGACTGAACCAATATAAATTTCTTGTGTATTTTTCTCTATCCCTTCACGTGTCTTTTCACTCTTACAAATTTGATTATATGCTTAATGTTGTAAGGCATGAATCATAAACTTTGCATATAAGACTAATAAAATATGATATTGCATGTACAAGGCATCTTAACACCATATCTTATATACAACTATATTTCAATATACTTCATTGGAAAGCTTTAGAAAAGTTTTTTAGCCTAGAAAATCTGAAAGAGCTTTTTTAATATCCAATTCACCCTCTCACCCACTTGGATAAGTCATCTTTCTTAACAAAAAACAATTGTGAATAAGTTATGATGTGAGTTAATTGTTAACGACTTGAGGTGTTTTAGTGATAACAATGTTTAAGGAATTAATGTGTAATATCAATAACATTGCAAGACTAGTGAAGTTACCAAATTAAATGTTTAGTTTGGTGTTGATATCTTAGTGACTATGATTAAGGTATTAACATATGATTAGATGGTTTCATAATTATTTGAGGTGTTATTGGATGATGTTTTGGATATTAATTGTTGTGTTTGAACTATGAGCATGTGACTCTTGTGGGATACAATGTATTGTGTTTTTGAGTGAACCATGTGATGGTCACATGATCTGAACTCTAAGTTGAGGCTTAGTAGGGATAAAGTTTGAGCATGTTAGCTTAGTAGTGATATGAGAATGTGTGCAATGTGTACTTGTGATCTTGTGGTAATGTGATAACATAATAATTGCACTGGTCTTATATGACATACATCATATGCATACGTGTTTTGATGGGTACAATACAGAATATGTTGTTAAGGGAAAGTCCCATTATATAAAAAGCTTAGGGATTCATGACCTTGAGGATAGTCGGGTTTGGGAGCTCCAATTCTGCTTGTGTGTGTGCATGGGGGGTAACTTGTGTTACACAACTATCCCAACGCATCCTGGTGTATCTTCTCCTAATATAAAGTGTGATAAGGGTGTGACCTGACAATTTCTCCTAGGCTACTCTTTGTGTGCCTTAGGGTAATGCATCATGATGTGATTTAACTGACTTTAGATGCATATGCACATTAAAGTTCATGTTCATTGCATTATGTGTGTTAATGTGTAACTGTGTGATGAATTATATAATGACTTCTTGACTAAATATGCTAGGCTACTTCATTATTGTTATATCTTGTTATTTGTTATATCTTGTGGTTGTTATCTCTTGATATTGTGTGTTTGGCTATCTGACTATGTTTTGCATTAAGTTAGAGTGAGATGTTTCTCACTCCCCTTTTCTTTGTTGTGTTTTGTGTGCTTCTTATTGTAGGTGAAAGTCATGATGACATTGATGATGTTGGAGACAAGGCCTAGATCTTGTGTTGAGTTTTATGTTTTAATAGGATGTGACATAGAGACGTAGTTAGAATTTGAGTTTTTGCTATTTATTTATGTTTAGTACATGATGTTAGACTTCATTTGGTGTTATTTATCTTTATTCAACATTCAGGTCGGAGCATCGTGGTTCTAATTGTTATGTGATATCCCTATTGAGGAATTGCTTTTATTTAGTTAACTTTTCTTTTACGAATTTTGTTCTTATATTTTAATTTATATGCTTATGGTAACATGCGAGGTAGAGAATGTCACAGCAATAATAATAATAATAATAATAATAATAATAATAATAATAATATATAGTTATGTATAAAAAGATACTCCTTTAAAAAGTCTCTACATTTGGTAAACCATTATATCATTATGTTATTAAAAAATTTTAAAAAAATCAATATTTTTTTTGTAGCTACAATTCTTTTTTAATAAGTATTCATTCTATTATTGTTATTTATTTTATTTTTAAAATAAATATTAAGAGGCACGAAATGCTTTTCCTTTTAGTTATGATAAAGGGGATATCTATTTTTAATAGACACAAATTTTGGACTAATTTATCTTATAACTACTTCTAATCACTTTCTCTTTAATAATGTTTTATTTATTCATTCATTCTCTCTTTTTCTATTTCAATTGCATTCAAATTTCAAATTTCTCACCTTTTAAATAACCACTCATTTTCTTTTTAATTTTTTTAATTTTGAAATCTGAATCACACCAAACCAATCCTTTGTAATTTGGTTTGGTTTGATTTTTACAACTTCAAAAATTTGCTATTTAAAAATAGTTTTTGTTGTGAAATTAAAAATAGTTAAATATATGTAATATCATGTTATTTGTTTAAGAATCCTTTGTCAAAAATAAAATTAAAAATATATTAATAAATATATTAATAAATATTATGTTTGAATGTATAAATCATATTTAAAATTTGTATAAATTGGTACTATCTAACATACAAGTTATTAGGGGTGAACATAAAACCGAGACCCGAACCGAACCCGAAAAACCCGATAAAAAATATTACTTTTGGGTGGGTTCAGGCGGGTTTTACGGGTAAATCGGGTTAAAATTTTAATTTTATACAGGTTATATTGAGCGGGTTCGGTTTTAAATTTTTAAACTTGCTAAAAAACAACAATGGTCCAAATTCAAAAGTCTTTATTTCAAGTATAATATAGCCATCAATTTGTAACTTTTTTTTTTCTTTTTCTCATAACCTAGATATTTCTTTTGTCTTCTCCTTCCTCATTCAATTTCTCAACACACTAGTCTATTTTTAGATTTTTCTTTTTGTTTCTTTCTCTATCTTTCTTTTCCATCTTCCTATCTGATGAGATTCCACTTGGAGATCTCATGAGTTCTTCAATGCTTCCGGGATTCCTTAGAAGTTCTTCAAGGAAGAAGACTCCAAGAAGCACAATGTGACCTAAGCTTGCATGTAGCCAAGTCCGAAGAAGAAGAGAATTCCCTAACTCTACAAGGAGAGGAGCTCAAGTAGGGTAGAGTTTTAGGAAAAAGGTGACTTCGGAGAGGGAGAGTTCTTAAGAGAGAAAAACTCATCAAATAATCCAAAGTGTTACAATACTCGGCCATAGGAAGATTTATAGGAGAAATTAGGTTAAGGGTTTAAGTTGGGTTTACCTAGAGTTAAGTAGAACCATGGTATGGTTTACTTAACTCTAGGCGCCAAAATTTGAATTCTAAAATTCAAATTTTGGTGCCAACCGGCCACCCCCTCCATCTGCACTCATTTGGATGTGATTTAGTATCCATTTGAGTTGCATTTCGGTCACACCATGTGCATGTGTGCACATGGCCGAAATGCACCTTCAAATGAAATACTAATGACATTCAAATGAAAGTGTACATGTTAACCTAAATTAACCCTAAATCTAAATGACCATGAAATGTAATTCCTATTCTAATGGCCGGAAATACAAGGCCCAAAAGAAATACAAGGCACTAAGGCCCAATCCTACACTAACCATAATCTACTTGGGCTTGAACCAAAGCCCAACAAAACAATGTGATGGGCTTTCGTTGAGCTTGGGCCCACTCCTCTTGTATCTTCCTTGCCATAGCCCTAGTAGTTGGGCCCTTGGCCCATGGGCTTCCTCCATCACTATCTCTATTTTGAGTACAACTTATGCGACAGTGGTTTCTTATAGATTTTGTAATCTAACTTTGGATTTCTTTTGCATGTAACAACTATGGATTTTGTTATCTTTTGTTTTTGCTTCTTTAGTTTGTAAATGTTTCATCTACGAATCTACTTACATCATCTATTGTTACCTTCATTCTATTTTTGTACGCTGTTTTAAAAATATTTTTTTACTGTTTTAAGCTTCACTTTCGTTAAAATAACTTGGTCTAAAAAAAATCTCAAACCTTATTGTACCCACCCGCCCAAATCCGAATCCGTTGCAATCCGAACTGCCTCAAACCGAAAGCTCAGTTGGTCGGATATGGGTCACATTTTTCCAAAGTCGATTTACAACGGGTTGAACATTTTTCACCCGAACCCGACTGAGCCCACCCGTTGTCCACCCCTACAAGTTATATTTGTAATAAATAATTTATATTGTTACATAATATTATTTTTATTTATTGATAATTTATTTTAAAAATATTAAAATTTAATTCATAAGTAATTATAATAAATAAAAATTAAATTAGATAAAAAAAATTTAAAAATTCTAAAAATCCACAACACTCTCACACAAGACAGAGAATCTTGTTTAATATATAAAAATTGATTTAACTAGACATGTCAAATGTACCCAATCAATGCCATATATCTAGTATCTACTGTATGTAATTGAAAATAAAAAAATATATATATATTTATTAAACAGTGCTATTTTATTCGATTTGGGTCGCTTTCATATTCAAAACGGCGAGCCGAATTCAACCATGCAATCTAGAGAAACAAAAAATAAAACTGAATCACTAGTTTGATATTTTCGATCTATTTTTGGTTTTTTGATCAATTTTTGGTTTTCAATTTGGGTTAGTTTGATTTTGAACACTACTATTTAATTGGGTGTTTATAAATTGAGTAGTTTAACAAAAAAAAAATTATTCTTTTATGTTTTTTCCCTCGGAAAAAAAACATATACTTCACCGTTTGACTTGAGTGTTTTCATCCAAACATATTTCTTCATTTTTACATACATACAAAGATATATGCATACATATAAAGATTGATCGAGAAAATATGAACACAATAATCTTAAATTGGTTACTATATATCTATATATTAAAATAGTACCTTTTGCTTTAAATTCAACCCAAATTAAATCTAATTGTTGCTTGATTTTAGTGTTGTTTTCTTGATTGATTTCCCAACGAACTAGTATTTTATTTTACTTTGAGTGTCCTTGCATTTCATTAAAAAATATTATTACCAATTTACAAAAAAAAAATATTATCTAGATTCACTACTTTCTAAATTAATTAAATCATTGATTTTATGAGAATACTTTTTCCCTTTAACTAAGAAATTGAAACACAAACCACAATCTCCAATTTCTTTCGCTTGCTTTCTTTCTCCAAGAATTTTCAGACCAAGTTTAGTCTCACACCGAGCAATGTCTGAGGTTTCTCAATTCCCAGCTGGTCTTAGGGTCCTTGCAATTGATCATGACCCCTCAGTTCTTGAATTCACTAAGCAAATATGTAGTCAACTCAAATATCACGGTAAGATAATTGTTCACTGTTTCTTGGACAGAGAATTAATCTCTTTTTTTTGGTTGATGAAATAGTTTCTATGTTGTGTGCAGTTGTCACATGCACCGAATCTCCATTTGCTTTGAATCTTGTGAGGGAAATAAAGACTTGCATCGATGTGATACTCATGGAGCTTCACATGCCAAACATGGATGGCCATGAATTCCTTCAACATGCCAAGAAGGATATTCGAATTCCTGTTATCGGTCTGTAACTATACTTGTTCTGCAAATTCTTGTGTGTATAGATATTGGTTGGAACTTTGATTTACTTTTCGAGTGCAATGTGCAGTGATGTCTGCTGACAATGCTGAGGATTCCGTGACGAAGGCTGTGAGAAATGGGGCTTGTGATTATTGGAATAAGCCTTTGCATGTGAATCAGTTCAGGAACATGTGGATACATGCAGCTAGGAAAGCCTTTAGTGAAAACAAGAATTTTGTCACATTGGAGAATAATAATTCTGAATTTGGTTCTTCTACTGTTATTGAAGCCACAGAAATATTTAGAGACCAAAACAATAGCAGTTCAAGAGAATCCGATGAATCGGAACATTCTTGTCAACCCCCAGCAAAAAAGCCACGTGTAATATGGACACCAACGCTGCATCGTGAATTTCTCAAGGCAGTGAAGCAAATTGGGGATGATAGTATGATTCTTTATTGATTCTTTTTCTCTGTTCAGACAGTCACTGAATTTTCTTTGGCGGTTTTGTGATTCTTATATAAGGTATAGTCTGATTCTTTAATTATTTTTCAGAAGCTGTGCCAAAGAAAATTCTTGAAGTGATGAATATCCCTGGTTTGACAAGAGATCACGTTGCTAGTCATTTGCAGGTTAGTTTCTGTTTTGTGTATTTGATTTTTCATAATTGGACTTGGTTATGACAAAGATAGCATTTCTCTAAAATTTATTGGCATTGTGACTGCAATATTGACTGCAGAAATATAAGCGGCATATGAAGAGTACATCTAATGGGGCAACACAGCAACAGAATGAGATGAAGAATACATCTAATGGAGCAACACAGCAACAGAATGAGATGAAGAGTACATCTAATGGAACAACACAGCAACAGAATGAGGTGAAGAGTACATCTAATGAGATGGCATTGCCAAACACAGAATCTGGTGCACTTGTGAGAGTGGACACATTGACAACCCTTGATACAGAAAAAGAGGCTAACCATTCCAATCAAGAACAAGGTTTGACACATTTTCATCCTTCTAACATTGCCATTGTCAACAATTTCTCTCAGCCAATCATGGATCCATCTATATATGGAGTGTTCAAGGATACATTGCAGCAACAGCAGCAGAAGACAATGATGCATCATCAAATTAGTCCTATCAATATTCAGCCATCTTTTGCCACCCAGAATATTAATAATGCTTTAGTATCACATCAAACTATTGATGCAAACAACTTAGGTTTCACAAGTGGTGATATGAGATCTTTGTCTGCACCAGGGTCAGAAGCACTAGTTCCCTATGGTTCACAATCTGGTGACTTAATTTATGATCAAGAGTAAACCGACATCCTAACTTGGTTACTTGAAGATTCAGCATTTGCAAGAGATTCTACTAACCCAAATTTCTCCAAAGATATTGTTGATCACAACACAACAAATTTGATCAGCTAAATTAAGAGGTTTTATATATAAAGTTCACTGAATACTTTTCGGGGTTTATTTTAAGGAAATTTTTATGTTGGTGTCCGTAGACATGAAAATAGATTATATGAATGATTGATCTAAACTTCATCTTTCTTGATATTTTTTTGGGACATTGTATTCTGCACTCTTTTTGTTACAACTATCCATCATTTTATCCACACGCTAACTAAAAACTTGATATACACTATTTTATCCCAAATTTATGGAAGGCATTATTGGCAGGAACTGAGTGTTTTTGTTTTTCATCTTCAGTAATTACTGCAAATGTATTTGGGATAACGTTTAAGCTAAATTAAAATTGAAATTTGTTTGATAACTAGTTTATAAATAGTTTGATCAAATTAAAAGAGCTTTATAAACTAGATTATTCTAATATTTTGATGGTTGTAAACTAATAGTTGGTGTAAGTTTATACCACATTATAAAAAATAAAAAAATAAAAAGGTTAGAAGCACATCTTTAACTAATTTATTGTACATAGTCAGTAGTTTAATATTTTTTATCATATATATATTCTTAATATTTAATATAATTCTATTTTTATCTTTTTTTATATTAAGGTTTATTAGAAAACTTTATTTTGTTATTCTTTAATTATTTTAATTATTACTCTATTTGTATTGCTCAATTTAGTATTTTAATAAAAATATATGATTTTTAATTCACACAATTTGATGAAACATCCTTGAAGCTCTTAATATTGACATTACATAGAATACCTAAAACTTAACAGACGTAACTTTGTGAGCACGAATTAATATTCTAAAGAAAAAGGTAAAAGATATATAACTTAATAACAGAAAATTAAAAAATACAATGTTCAGTTTTACAATTCAAAAAACATAAAAAGACTAAGACAATAGAAACTGTTCTTCCTGGAAATCTGCTGTAGAGCTGATCCGCCAGGTAAGATCGGTGAACCTCCTTCACTGGTACGTTGGTGCTCCAAGATGGGGATGGTACCTGCAAAAGAGACTCCGATGTTAAAGTTAGTGTTTGTGTGAATATTAGTCTCGTATAAGTAATGCACGTACCTTGGTGTGATCTAGGGTTGCCTTGGGCCTTGGACTTGAGATAAGATATAATATGATTAGATAACGGACCTCGTCTGGGGCGAGATCCTCGGGAATCAGTTATGATTCACTTAAATGCCGAGCTGATGTCACGCGGTGCGCGTCCGAGGTCGGCTTGCGTTGTGATGTCGAGCTCGAAGCTCGGCTTCGCCTCCCAGACAGTACACTAGCCCCCCGAGCTCCGAAGACCGTAGGTCGAGGAGTTGAGACCGAGCTCGCTGGGGGGAGGTGACCTTTCGTGTACGCCTGCCTGTTGAGATGTCATGTGTCATAACTGTTCATTTCCCGAAAACTTGCAAGTGGCGCGTTACGAGAAATGACGGTCATGTAATGATGGTCTTGCAATTAATGTGTTGTCAGGTGTGCCCTTAGGTTGACACGTGGCATGGCCGTTTTGAAAGTTGGGAAAAAACCCTTTTCTTTTTCTCTCCCGCGTCTCTTCCCATTCATTCCACTTTCTTCTACTCTCTGGCTTCTTGGGTACGATAACCCTCTGTGTCTTCTCGATCCTTGCCTTCTCGTTTTCGTTCGCTTTCCGTCTCCATTTCCGGTAACCCCGTCATTATTAGGGTTGTTTTCTGAGGAGGAGTATCAGGTACTTCCTTTCTACAGTTCTCTTTTTTCTTTTCCCCAGATCTTCTTTTTCTTTAATGGCTGGTGGGAGTGGTGCTGGCTCTTCTGCGCCTGCCAGAGGCAAGGCGCGCGGTAAGGCGGTGGCTACGGGGAGAGCCGCTGCCGAGAAGAGGGATCCGCCTCCGCCTCGGGGCCCGGAGCCAGGCATCCCTGGCTACGACTGGGTCAAGCGTGAGATAGAGGGGGTCCAGAGCGTTTTTTGGTCCTTTCTTGAGGTTAACGGGATCCCGCGGTCGTGTAAGGTTTGTGACCCTTCTATTTCCTGGATGATCCGGCTTGAACCTTGTCAGGCTGGTGAGGGTGTGTACATGGGGAAGTCTACCGACCCTCCCCATTTCTATATGTATCATTGTTTTTTTAGAGATTTAGGTGTCTGTCTTCCCTTCACTCAGTTTGAGTGTGATTTTTTGAACTTCGTCAACTCGGCTCCTTGCCAGTTGCACCCCAATAGTTGGGATTTTTTTAGGGCTTTTCAAGTCCTGTGTACAGTTTTGGGGATAGAGGTGTCTTTTCCCATCTTCCTTCATTTTTATCAGTTGAAGGTAGGCGTTCCGCCAAACGGCATATTATCTCTGAGTGGGAGTAGGGATGGGGGTTTGTTTACTCTCTACTCCCAGTCGTACAAAAATTTCAAATAAGAGTTTTTTCGAGTCGCTCTTGTGAACGTTGACCCCTTGGAAGATGGGGCATTTTATTTCGGGGGCTGCCGAGATTTCCCTTCTATTGGTGCCCCCGACCTTCTAGGTTTCATGGGGTGGGCCAAGTGAAGCTGACGGCTTCAGAGGCGGCTGCCATCGAGAACCTCGCCGCGCTTCCTCGTCCGTTGGATTGCAAGCTCGTTTTGTCGCTTGCGAACTCGGCGTATAGGGAGAGGGGCTTGGAGAGTGAGTATTTCGTTTTTTGGTGGCTTAGAGTTTGTGTAGCTTACATTTGCTGATGTGTTTTGTTTCTTGTTTGTAGGTATCATGGGGAAGAACTTGTGGCGCGAGCTTAAGCATCGCTACAATGTCACCGAGCACGTGGTCCCCGAGCCCCAAGAGGAGGATGCTTCCCCCCTGAGGGTTAACCGAAAAAGAAAGAGGGGAGCGAAGGAGGTTGGGGGGACCTCCGCCCCTCCGGATGTCGAGGAGGTGACCTCCAAAGCTGCCGATGCTGGCGCGATGGACCTTATTGAGAGTCCGCCGCCCATGGGGGCTCCTCAGGTGGCCGTTGAGGAGATAGCTCAGGCTGTTGAGCAGGTTGTTCATCCTGCCGAGGTGGTGAGTGCCTTGTCTCTTCGGCTTTTTGTTTTCTTCTATTGTGCTTTTTCTGTTTTCTGACCTAGGGCTGTCTTCCGTAGGCAGGAGAGGCTGCCGAGGCGGCGACTCAGGCTGCTGGGCAGGCCGCCCGGGTTGCCGAGGTGGCGACCCCAACCGCCGCGCAGGTCGCCCATGCTGCTGAGGTAGGTAGTGTACCCTGATTTTTGTGATTCCTCGTATGTTGCCCTTTTCCTTTTTTGACATGGTGCTGGTTTTTACAGGCGAGGTCAAAGATTCCTATCACCGACCCCCCAGTTGCCGAGCAGGGGACGCCGGCTTCTGCCTCTGCCGAGGCTCGTGGCAAGGGGCCGAGTTTTGAGGTCCCCGTGTCCACCCCTGCAGCTTCGACGCCACCGTCTGGTTCGTCGTAGGGGGATTCCCGGAGCCGATACATAGCCCACCGCTTTGGGAGGGGCCTCTCCAAGGTACGATTGGACCATGTGAGCGCCTCGGCTGACATGGATTCGCTATGGAGCGCGGGGGTGACCGCTGAGAAGTTCTTCCCTCCAGGCTCGCTAAGCTCTGAAGACCATGGGCTGATAGACGAGACCGGGCCTGTGGATGGCTTTGACGCCGCCCAGGTCCTTCTGCAGAGGGCTATGGCCATTGTGGGTCACTGGAAGCCTCAGTGGTCCAAGCAGCAGGGGGACCTAGCCAGACTGAGGGGCCGAGTTCAACCCCTGAGGGACGAGAACAAGGTTCTGAAAGGGGAGAATAAGGTTCTTAAGGAGGAGCACGAGGTCCTAAGTGTTGAGCTCCGAGCTGCGAGGGGGGATCTCGCGAGGGTGCAGAAGTCCCTGGAGATTGCTCTGCGCTCGAACGAGAACTATGCTTCTTAGGTGGGCAAGCTGCGGGGGTTGGTTTCCTCATCCCGGAGTCGGGTGCGCTTCCTCGAAGATGAGGTGACGTCTTCTCGTGGCCGAGTTCGCTCTTTGGAAGATGAGGTAACCTCTCTGAAGAGCAAGCTAGCGACGACGGCCGAGAAGCGCCTCTGCGACGAGGTCGTGATTGGGGGCAAAGAGGAGGAGGTCGCCACCTTGAAGGCGGAGCTGGCGAGGCAGGAGGCGGAGAGAAAAGAGCTGGAGAAGAAGCTGGAGGAAACCGAAAAAGCTATCATTGTTGAGCATAAGTGCGGTTTCCTCAAGGCAGCTCGCCAGGCAAGGCTTCTTGCCCCGGGGTTCGACTTCTCTACCATGCACGTGGCGTAGGTAGTCCGCTTTGGGAAGTTGGTGAAGGAGGACGACCTCGAGGGTAGCTCTAGTGAAAACGCCTCTGCGTAGGCCGGTTAATGTTTTTGTGTTTTATTTTTCTTTTGTTTTCATGTATTGAACTCCATAAACAAGGCTTTGTATATACGTATTTTCTTTGTTTGCTTACGTTTGCTCTTGATTTTTACTGTTTGCGCATTTTGAGGCACACGTTTGATGTCTGTTGTATGTTTTTGTATGCGGTGATGCCTTTGCCTTATGTTGACCAAGTCAGGGTTCAAACTCACTCTTGGTTTATCGTTGAGTGAGTGTTTCCGTGAAGGTTCGAGTTCGACCTTGATTTATTAGCGCCGAGGTTCAAAGTCGACCTCAAATTGAAGTAGAGTGAATTGCACTAAGGTTCGGATTCGATCTTGTATGTTTGTTAAGTAGCATGTTGCAAAGGTTCGAACTCATCCTTGGATAAGTGGTTCGTACTTGTCTTTAAATTTATACATTTCACCAAGGTTCGAACACGTCCTTGGATTTAGAGTAATATGTGTTTCATCAAGGTTCGAATTCGACCTCGGATAAGGGTGTTAAGGTTCGTACTCGACCTCGTAATTTTAGCGAGGTTCGGACTCGACCTCGGATAAGAGTATTAA